AGCTCACTCCTCATAAATAAGCAATAGCCCACCCCAAAACTGATAAAAGGACCTTCCTTTCTTTGTTCTTCTCTCTCCTTCTGCTTCTTCTTCCTCCTCTCTCTCTCTCTCTGCCTTCCTGCCTCCTGCTCACCTCCCTACAATAAAGATCTCCTGCCAGACCTCTCGGTGCGTGAGTGGCCTAATTGGGAAGGGGCACCCGAAAGGGTACGTGAACCCCCCTTTCACTGTCCACCCCCGCAGCCACAGTGCCCATGCCATCTGTTGGGCCCCATGGTTACTGCACAGGGTCTTAGGCCCTGTGTGACCAGGTTGGCAGGAGGGGGCTACACCAGGTGCCAACACCCACCTGGGGACCCTGCCCTGATGACTACCACAGCTCCCTTGGTCCTGCTGCCAATGTGCCCAGGTCCCCGATCAGGGAGGAGGTGGCACAGGTGAGGGGCCCAGGCTGCCAGGCCATGGCTCTTGGCACACGTGATGCCTCTGTCCCGCAGGTGACCACACATGGCAACCCAGGTAATCTTGGGGTCTCTTCTGGAGATCTTGAGCCTCCCTCTGTCCACAAAGGTTCCTGCTCGCTCTGTCAGACTGTCCCTGGTGGGGTCCACCACACATCACAAGGCCCCACAGAGAACACAAACTACAGAACCAGTTTGGGCTCAGCGGAAGGCTCTAAGTCGGTGACATGAGCCATCCTTTGGGAAGGGGAGGGGGTGACTGGGCCGCGATCCCCAAGCTGTCCAAACAGCCCTGTTGAGTCCAATGACAAGTGTCCTTGAGAGGAGAGGAGAGGAGACCCAGGGGACTAGGCCACAGGACAGACAGAGCGAGGTCCCGAGAGTAGGTGCTCCTCAGGGGGAGCAGGGCCTGCACATGAGACTCACAGCCACCCAGTCTTGGAAAACTCAGGCATGACCCAAGATCCCTAGATGGTTATTTCACCACTTCAGGGACAAAGGGAAGGAGGGGTGTTCGGAGGTGCCTCAAGTGTCCTGGGCCCCCATGCAGAGTGGGGCCCGCAGGACGAGCGGCTGTCAGGGAGGCTCCAGCTCCCAGCCCTGGACAGCTCTAAGGTCTCCTTTTCCACAAGATAAGGGACTGGGATGTCACAAAGCTGGCCAAGTTCCACGCCCAGCACAATAAAAAAGGGGGGAAAACAGTGCTGGTGGTGTCTTAGGGGGCAGCAGGGCACTCCAACTTCAGCCACCCCTCCCTTTTCTTCCCCGACCCTATAGTCTTTGGCCAGAGTGGCAGGAAGTCTCTCTCTCCAGGCAGGGGTCAGGCAGGCACCAGCCTGGGGCAGGAAGACCAGGAGCTCTGCCAAGCCTGGGTCATTGTGCACGGCGCCGCCTCCCGCCAGCGCTGGTCCCATTAATATTCTCTTTGGCCCCTAAAGTTCTTGGACTCTGGCCCAGAAGGAAAAACTCTACAAACAGAGTCAAGGTTCTGCTCTCAGCCAGAGCAGGTGGCTGCCCAAGGGGGAGGGGGTGGGAGATGCAGGCAGAAGGGCTCGGAGGTGGGGTTCTGACAGTCCAGGTGGCCAGGCTGCTGCTGTCCATTGGTGCTCCTGGCCATGGCACCCACTGTGTCCAGCTCGAAGGGTTCAGGGAGCCCTGACAGCCCAACAGCAAAGGCCTTCTGGGCAGGCTCACAGTCCCAGGCTGGAGCACCAACTCGCTGTGAGCCCCTGAGCACACACTGCTGAGAGCTGCCCAGGTCCTTCTGTCTGGGTCGTTGAGAACATCTTCCGCTTTCCTAAGTCTTCCCTCCCCATAAGCAACCACAGGGACACCGCTCTGTACTCCAGCAGTGAGACAGGGATCAAAATTGAGCAGCCCCTCGCCCCTCCCCGCCCGGCCCCAAGTCCATTTCCAGCTCCACCCAGCCCAGTCCCTCTCGCTCAGGGAGGCTGCAGCCCGCACGCATCCCGCTGCTTGCCCTGCCCAACGGCGTGGGAAGGGACCCTGTGCAGCTCTGGTTAGGATGCTGAGAGCCCGGTCCTCCAGAGGCATCACCCAGGTGGTCGGAGGAGCTCTTACGGCCTGCTGGGGACCCCGGGGAGGGGAGGAAGGAGGTGCCCGTCAGGTGAAGGGAGGGGAGGAGTCAGAGCAGGGAAGGGACAGAGGCCCAGGCCGGAAGGGCTGCTCTGCCGGGTGGGCGGGGCTGCTCAGGGCACCTCTGCTCCCAGCACAGCCACCTGAGCGACCCTCCCACTCTGCCGTGACCCCCGTTCCTG